TGAAGAAACAGATAGAGTATCTACTGAACAGACAGCTGATCCGCCCATCCACCTCTCCCTACGGTGCACCAGTCCTCTTCACTCCAAAACCAGACGGCAGTTTACGGATGTGCATCGACTACCATGCACTGAACAAACAGACAGCTAAAAACAAATATCCCATACCGCGTATACACGACCTACTCGATCAACTGCGTGGAGCAACAGTATTTTCGAAGCTGGACCTACGATCGGGTTACTGGCAGATCAAGATGGCAAACAACTCGGTCCACAAGACAGCGTTCCGTACCAGATACGGGTCCTACGAATACTTGGTGATGCGGTTCGGACTCTGCAACGCACCAGCAACGTTTCAGGCGGAGATGAATCACATCTTACGACCCCTGCTGGACGAGTGCGTGGTGGTGTACCTAGACGACATTCTCATCTACTCCAAGAACATGAAGGAGCACGTGGAGCATCTGCGGAAGGTGTTCGAGATCCTGTGGAACAACAAGTTCTACATGAAGCTATCGAAGAGCGACTTTGCCCTGAAGAAGGTGCAGTTTCTCGAGCACATGGTGAGTGCCGAGGGCGTACACGTGGACCCGCAGAAGATCCAAGCCGTAAAAAAGTGGAAAGTACCGGAGAACGTGAAGGAGTTGCAGCAGTTCCTAGGCTTCGCCAACTACTACAACAGGTTCGTGCCGCAGTACGCAAAGATAACAACGCCACTGACCGACCTACTGAAAAAGGATACGCCCTACAAATGGGGTACCCCTCATCAGCAAGCCATGGAACACCTACAGACAGCACTGACTATAGCGCCAATACTCATCTTGCTGGATCCAGACAAGGACTACGTGGTGGAAGCAGACGCTAGTGACCAAGCAGTCGGAGCAGTACTGATGCAGGATCACGGACGCGGTTTGCAGCCCATCGCCTACCTCAGTAAGAAGCTACATGGAGCAGAACTGAACTACCCCATCCATGACAAGGAAGCCTTAGCGATAGTCATAGCCTTCAAAGCGTGGAGGTGTTACCTAGGAGAGCCAAGACTACAGTCTATACTGACCACTGCAGTCTCAAATACCTGAAGTCGCAGCCGACTCTCTCACGACGACAGGTGCGGTGGGTGGACTTCCTGGAAACTCACTTCCACTACGACATCGTCTACAAGCCCGGGCTACACAACAAGGCAGACGCGTTGAGCCGCCCCGGACATGTAGCAGGCATCCAGCTCGACGGGATGAACCCTCTGCTCAAGGGTCTATTCCAACATGGGTACTCCGTGGACGCAGAAATCGCTACAGCACAGACCAAGAAGCTGTTACAGTGGGAGAAAGACTTAGCTGTAAGGAAGGGTTCAGGAAAGATTTGGGTACCGAATTACGCCCCGCTACGGCAGATCCTATTGGAGGAGTTTCACGACGTACCATACGCGGGACATTTCGGGAGCAACAAGACGTTAGCAGGGATAGCAAAGTATTACTACTGGCCCGGAATGGCAGCAGACGTGCAGCAGTTCGTCACCTCTTGCGACACGTGCAAGCGGATGAAGAGCAGCAAGCAGAAAAAAGCAGGGTTACTTCAGCCTCTACCTGTACTGGAGCAGCCATGGGAGGTCGTTAGCCTCGACTTCATCCCAGAACTTCCTTCGACCTCACGGGGACATGATTCCATCCTCGTGGTGATCGATAAGTTCTCCAAAATGGGTCACTTCATACCGGCCAACGCCACAGCTACAGCTGAAGCAACTGCTCGCCTCTTCTTCGACCGCATCATCACCACCCACGGCATCCCTGCTACACTCATCTCAGACAGAGACCCAAAATTCACCAGTAAGTTCTGGAAGGAGCTCATGGGACTGTTGGGGACAAAGCTTGCAATGTCTTCCGCATACCACCCCCAGACTGACGGACAGACAGAGCGACTCAATCAAGTGGTTGAACAGTTACTGCGCACAGCTTGCAAGGACGACGACAGCCACTGGGACACACAGTTCCCGACCCTAGAGTTCGCTTACAACAACGCATCACATGCGGCCACAGGGAAAACTCCTTTCTTCCTGTGTTTCGGACGGGAACCACTCACACCACAACAGCCAACCACACCGGCACACGTCCAAGCCGCACATGACTTTGTCACCACCATGCAGCAGCTATGGGAGAAGACTCAGCGACGACTCACCACGATGCAGACCTCCCAGAAGCAGTATGTCGATTGTCAGCGACGTGATCACTCAGTAGCAGTCGGAGATCAGGTGCTTCTTAACACGCGCAACTTGAACCTGTCTCACCTCCCATCCAAACTCCGGCCTCGCTTCTGTGGTCCTTTTCTCGTTGAGGCACAGGTGACACCAGTTACATTCCGCTTGCGCTTACCAGATACATGGAAGCTTCACAACGCTTTCCATGTTCAGCTACTAAAGCCCTACAAGGACCCCAACCAACAGTTCCAGGGACGGCAGCTACCGCCACCACCACCGGTTCTCGTACAAGATGAACCAGAGTATGAACTGGAGCGCGTTCTCACTCATCGGCGCCGCGGCGGCAAGACCCTCGAGTTCCTGATACGCTGGAAGGGATACGACCCCACTGAGGACAGTTGGGTTGCAGAAGCTGATATGGGCAACGCACGCCGTGCTCTCAAGGACTATCTTGTCAAGCAAGGTGTATCTCACGCCACCCAGCTTTGAGGGGGGGACGTGTGAGAGTACGACGGCTTATGCCAGCTATGCTTGCTTGCCTTTACTTTATGATGCTATTTTTAGCATAGGATAATTATATGCATGCATGAATTGCTTGATTTCCTAGGCTAGGTGCTTTCCTATATTTTATTATAGTTATAGCACCGAGCTAGGTTGCGTGCACCGAATTCTGGCTTTTCGGTTGCCACCGAATTGCTTTCTACCGAATTCGGTAAGGATCTGTTCGGGACGCTACGCGGCCCGCGGAACCTTTGCGTAACACCTGGTTACGGGGCCTTGTGTCGAGCCTGTATATAGCCTCGTGTTGTACCCATGTGATCATTCAATTACAATTCTCTTTTCTGAGCTCGATCCTAGATCCTCACACTGGTTATTAGGTGAATTTCGGATCGACTCAAAAGTCACCTCATTACGGATGTCATCCTAGTCATTTCCATTGTCTAAAATGGCATGAATAGCATGGCATGGCATATTGCATCAGGCCAGGGTGAGCATATCGCATGCATGGTATGGTATGGCATGGCATGGCATGGCAGGGCAGGGTAGACATACCAGCTGCAGGTCCGTTTTCCTCTTGAACCATGTCACATGCACCCTGTTACCTTTAGAAGAGCCTTGATAGTCGGCAGGGCAGACATACGTATTGCATGTAGGTTCGTTTTCCTCTTGAACCATGTCATGTGTACCATGTTACCCTTTCGAAGAGTCTCGAGTCTCAACAGTCATGCCATTGCAGGGCGGGCATTTTGCACGCATGGCACGGAAGAGAAGGGAGAAGTCGGACATACCGCATGAAGGTTTGTCTTCTGCTTGAACCATGTCATATGCACCCAGTTGCCACCAAAATCAGATGCGAATCCCAAGTGCAGAGGCTGCACCAGGGGATGTGAGGTAGACGGATGGAGGCATGGGGGGAGGGAAAATTAGAGGACCATGTCACGTGCACCCTTTATTGCCACCCGGATCAGATGTGAATCCCATGTGCCGTGGCTAATGCAAGGGGATTTGAGGCAGACGGATGGAGGCATGGAAGGGGGGGGTGGAATGGCAATCCCATGTGCAGGGGAAGGCGATTGAGGGAATTAGACATGCACAACCTGTTGCTGCCCAGATTTGGTGCGATGTGAACTCGACGTACAGAGGCTGAAGCAGGGAGATATGGGCAGACAGAAGGATGCATGGGAAGGGGGGGATACTTAGACTCGCACCCTGTTGCCGCCCAGATTTGGTGTGAATCCCAAAGTGCAGAGGCTGAAGCAGGGGCATTGGCGATGCATGGAGGCACAGGGGGTGGAGAGACAATGGGGGACGGACCAGCGTACACCGGTTTGCCAATGTCAACCCCACGTGCAGAGTTTGAACCAGGGGTTTTGTCCAGAAGGGGGGGGGGGGGGGGGGGGGGGGGTGTTGAGGAGGGGGGGAGAGAAATGGAGCGACAAAGGGGTCAAACTTGCACCTCTGTCGCTACCCATAAGTGAGGTGCATCCCATCCCACGTACAAAGGCTGAAGAGCGGCTATGGGGTTATACATGCACCCTTCCTTGCCTCCCACCTCACCTGGTGCACGTCCCTACAAAGTGCGCCAGCAACAGCAGTGCCCCTGTCAGGTTGTAGCCTCTTATGGATGGCCCACCCTTTGCCCCGCGGCAAAGGTGCAAAGGGGTCTTGAGGGTCGGGGGGGAGATTGGGGGATGGAGAGGCGGAGATGGGATTCGAGCTGGTGAGGTTGTAGCCTCTTATGGACGCCCCACCCTTTGGTCCTTGCTCCTTTGCTTCTGTGCCCCTTGCTGTTGCTTATACGTTCACTCCCCCCCACCCTCACGTGGTGCACGTCCCCTGCGAAGTGCGCGAGGAACATGAGTGCCTCTGTCAGGTTGTGCTGTCTGCTAAGCCTGGCCCTTGTTGAAATTAGTTCACCAAACCCATGCTCACTTGGTGGATATCCCCTGCGAAGTGCGCGAGAAACATGAGTGCCTCTGTATGTGGCGCCTTTTGAGTCGACTCAAAAGTGCACTTTGCTGTTGGAACCTGCACCTGTTGCACTTTGCTTCTTTGCTGCTTTGCTACCATATTAGTGCACCACTTCCAACCTCACCTGGTGGATATCCCCTGCAAAGTGGGCGAGGAACGTGAGTGCCTCTATCAGGTTGTAGCGCTGAAGAAACCCTGCTGCACCCAGTGCTGCTCTCTGCTCACAGGTGGGAGGACTAGCAAAAGCCGCAGAAGCAGAAGCAGCTATAGCAGCACCAGCGGTGGGAGCGAAAAGCGAGGCATGGGCAGCACTCCTCGCACCGTCTTGTACCACTCTCTTTTACAACCGCACCGTCTCCTCTTCCCCCTCTCCCTCCTCCCCTTCTCCCTCTTCCTCTTCTCCCTCCTCCACTTCTCCCTTCTTCTCACCCCCCCCTTGCACAACAGCTTCTGCCTCACCAACCCCTCTGAGAAGGTTGCGGCGGGAAGCAGCTTCGAGGAAGGGAGCAGGATTATGTGGTCTTGTGGGTCCGGAGGGGGGAATTGGGGGATGGAGGGGCGGAAAGAGGATTTGAGCTGGGCGGAGGCAAGGGGGGAGTAGGAGGGGATCTGGGCGGAGGAATGGGAGAAGTAGGTGAGGAGCACGAGGTGTAGTTGATAATAGCGTTAGCAACACACACATCGGAATGATGGGCGAAGGTGCAATCGCCTGGAGGGGAAGGGAAGAGTGGAGGAAGAGAGAAGATGAAAGGGTATGAGAGGAGCTGGGGATGTGGCTGGTCACAGTGTTGGCAACGTAAAATGAGGGTGCTATTAAGACGTCTCAAAAGCACCCTCATTTCACGTGTTTTTTTCGAGAGGAGCTGTCATCGGCGCTCGCGAATGAAGAGCGCCTTTCCTGCACATGTGCAGATCCTTCCGCGTTTTGGGGATGGAAGCGCTTGATCTGAGCGTTTTTCATCCGCCGGGTCATGTGGCTACGCTTGTCTAGGCCTATTACCAAGACAGCAGGGGCGTGGGAGAGTTGCGAGCATCATCGGTCATCGCCGCTCGCGAATGAAGAGCGCCCGCTGCACTTCCTGCACATGTGCAGATCCTTCCGCGTATTAGGGCTGGAAGCGCTCGTTCCGAGCGTTTTTCTTCTGCCGGGTCATGTGGCTACACTTTTATGGGCCTATTACCAAGCCAGCAAGGGCGTGGGAGGGTTGCGAGCATCATCGATCATCGGCGCTCGCGAATGAAAAGCGCCCGCTGCACTTCCTGCACATGCGCGGATCCTTCCGCATTTTGGGGCTGGAAGCGCTCGTTCCGAGCGTTTTTCTTCCGCTGGGTCACGTGGCTGCGCTTGTCTGGGCCTATTACCAAGCCAGCAAGAGCGAGGGAGGGTTGCAAGCATCATCGATTATCGGCGCTTGCGAATCAAGAGCGCCCGCTGCACTTCCTGCACATGTGCGGATCCTTCCGTGTTTTGGGGCTGGAAGCGCTCGTTCCGAGCTTTTTTCTTCCGGGGGGTCACGTGGCTGCGCGTGGGAGGGTTGCGAGCATTATCGGTCATCTGCACTCGCGAATAAAGAGCGCTCGCTGCACGTTCTGCACATGTGCGGATCCTTCCGCGTTTTGGGGTTGGAAACGCTTGTTTCGAGCGTTTTTCTTCCGCTGGGTCAAGTGGCTGCGCTTATCTGGGCCTATTGCGAAGCCAACAAGGGCGTGGTAGGGTTGCGAGCATCATCGGTCATTGGCGCTCGCGAATGAAGAGCGCCCACTACACTTCCTACACATGTGTGGATCCTTCCGCGTTCTAGGGCTGGAAGCGCTCGTTCCGAGCGTTTTTCTTCTACTGGGTCACGTGGTTGCGCTTGTTTGGGCCTTTTGCCAAGCCAGCTAGGGCGTGGGAGGGTCGCGAGCATCATCGGTCATCGACGCTCGTGAATGAAGAGCGCCCACTGCACTTCCTGCACATGTGCGGATCCTTCCGCGTATTAGGGCTGGAAGCGCTCGTTTCGAGCGTTTTTCTTCCGCCGGAAAACGTGGGTGCACTTGTCTGGGCCTATTACACAGCCAGCAAGGACGTGGGAGGGTTGCAAGCATCATCGGTCATCGGCGCTTGTGAATGAAGAGCGCCCGCTACACTTCCTGCACATGTGCGGATCCTTTCGCGTTTTGGGGCTGGAAACGCTTGTTCGGAGCATTTTTCTTCCACCGGGCCAGGTGGCTGTGCTTGTTTGGGCCTATTGCCAAGCCAGCTAGGGCGTGGGAAGGTTGCAAGCATCATCGGTCATCGGCGCTCGCGAATGAATAGCGCCCGCTGCACTTGTTTTGAGCGTTTTTCATCCGCCGGGTCATGTGGCTGCGCTTTTCTAAGCCCTTTTTGAAGCCAGCAAGGGCGTGGGAGGGTTGCGAGCATCATCGGTCATTGGCGCTCGCGAATGAAGAGCGCCCGCTGCACTTCCTACACATGTGCGGATCCTTCTGCGTTTTGTGGTTGGAAGCGCTCGTTCCGAGCGTTTTGCTTCCGCCGGGTCACGTGGCTGCGCTTCTCTGGGTCTATTTCCATGCCAGCTAGGGCGTAAGAGGGTTGTGAGCATCATCGATCATCGGCGCTCGTGAATGAAGAGTGCCCGCTGCACTTCTGCACCAGTGCGGCTCCTTCTCGTCACCCTTCTCCCTACTCTCATCACCCTTCTCCCTACTCTCATCACCCTTCTCCCTACTCTCATCACCCTTCTCCCTACTCTCATCACCCTTCTCCCTATCTCATCACCCTTCTCCCTACTCTCATCACCCTTCTCCGTGTGCGCGCGAACCAAAATGAAGTTGCTCTTATAGGTGTACACCAAGGGTGATGAGAGTAGGGAGAAGTGTGATGAGAGTCGGGAGAAGGGTGATGAGAGTAGGGAGAAGGGTGATGAGATTAGGGAGAAGGGTGATGAGAGTAGGAAAAAGGGTGATGAGAGTAGGGAGAAGGGTGATGAGAGCAGGGAGAAGGGTGATGAAAGTAGGGAGAAGGGTGATGAGAGTAGGGAGAAGGGTGATGAGAGCAAGGAGAAGGGTGATGAGAGCAGGGAAACGCTTGTTGTGGGTGTGGAAAATATTATGATCTAGTGGACCAGCAGAAAAAATGAGGATTCCAATGCAGTGGACCAGTCAAAGTGATGCGTTCCGCAGTCTGGTCGCTATGCGCACCTATAATGAGCGTACCACGCGGAGTTCAGGCGCTCAAATCTTGAGAACCACGTGGAACAAAATGGAAACGCTTGTTGTGGGTGTGGAAAATATTATAATCTAGTTGACCAGCAGAAAAAATGAGGCTTCCAATGCAGTGGACCAGTCAAAGTGATGCGTTGGGCAGTCTGGTCGGTATGCGCACCTAAAATGAGCGTACCACGCAGAGTTCAGGCGCTCAAATCTTGAATGCACGTGGAACGAAATGAAAGTGCTTGTTGTGGATGTGGAAAATAGTTTAATCTAGTGGACGAGTAGAACAAATGAGGCATCCAATGCAGTGGAGCAGTCATGGTGATGCGTTGGGCAGTCTGGTCGGTATGCACACCTATGATGAGCGCACCACGCAGAGTTCAGGCGCTCAAATCTTGAGAACCACATGGAACGAGATGGAAACGCTTGTTGTGGGTGTGGAAAATAGTCTAATCTACTGGACGAGCAGAAAAACTGAGGCATCCAATGCAGTGGACCAGTCAAGGTGATGCGTTGGGCAGTATGGTCGGTATGGGCATCTATGATGGGCACACCACACAGAGTTCAAGCGCTCAAATCTTGAGAACCACACGAAACGAAATGGAAACGCTTTTTCCGGATGTGGAAAATAGTATTATCTAGTGGACCAGCAGAAAAAATGAGGCTTCCAATGCAGTGGACCAGTCAAGGTGATGCGTTGGGCAGTCTGGTCGGTATGCGCACCTTTGATGGGCGCACCACGCAGAGTTCAAGCGCTCAAATCTTGAGAACCACATGGAACGAAATGGAAACGCTTGTTGCGGATGTGGGAAAAAGTACAATCTAGTGGGCCAGTAGAACAAATGAGGCATCCAATGCAGTGGACCAGTCAAGGTGATGCGTTGGGCAGTCTAGTCGGTATGGGCACCCTTGATGGGCGCACCACGCAGAGTTCAGGTGCTCAAATCTTGAGAACCACGTGGAACGAAATGGAAACTCTTGTTGTGGATGTGGAAAATAGTACACTCTAGTGGGACAGCAGAACAAATGAGGCATCTAATGCAGTGGACCAGTCAAGGTGATGCGTTGGGCAGTCTGGTCGGTATGGGCACCCTTGATGGGCGCACCACGCAGAGTTCAGGTGCTCAAATCTTGCGAACCACGTGGAACGAAATGGAAACGCTTGTTGTGGATGTGGAAAATTGTCTAATCTAGTGGGCCAGCAGAACAAATGAGGCATCCAATGCAGTGGACCAGTCAAGGTGATGCGTTGGTCAGTGTGGTCGGTATGGGCACTCTTGATGGGCGCACCACGCAGAGTTCAGGCGCTCAAATCTTGTGAACCACATGGAACGAAATAGAAACGCTTGTTGTGGATGTGCAAAATAGTCTAATCTAGTGGGCCAGCAGAACAAAAGAGGCATCCAATGCAGTGGACCTGTCACATTTATGTGAATGTGAGCGGGATAGTGAGGAGAGATCGGGAAGTGTACAAATTGTATATACTGTAGATAGCAAGGAGGGCAGTGCCGAGGATGGGATGCTAAGGGCCAAGGTGAGGATTGAGGTTTGCGGGGAGACAAGTGGGTGCGCGGGAGGGTGACGTCTGCCGAAGCGAAAGGTTGGGGAAAGGCATGGGGAGAAAACAGGGCGGGACTTACGTAAGTGGGAGGAGGGCAAGGGTTGAAACTACAGCGCTTGGCAGCAGCAGGGCCAGCAAGTTACCACATCAGCTCGGGTGGGTGCTCGCATGCATGTGTGTTTGCTTTCGTATGTGTGCAGGTGTGCTCCAAGGAGCCAGCTGGAACAACACAATGGCAGCTGGAGGGAAAGAAGCAGGAGGCAGGCAGCAGAGGCAGTTGGCAGGATGGTTGCTAGTCTGTTCCAAAGTCGCGATAGCCTCTGCGGACAGTCAAGGGTAGACAAGATGAGTGAGGCGGAGGCCGATCTGGTAGATAGGAGGTACCTTGTGGTAGCTATCCTCAATGCTTGTATGTTTCCTTTGAACACGATATTCTTGCACCTACTCGAGCAAGTAGTGAGGAAAAGGAGATATTGCAAGCTAGGATGGAATAAAGCGCTTCGCAGAGTGAGTTCAGTACCAGAAGCAAAACCAGAGAAGAGGGAGAGGGGAAGAGAGTGTGCAGGCAGAGGCCACACCAGGAGGACAATCAGTAAGACTGACGAGGGCAAGAGAGGTTCCTGGTAGAGGGGGGGGGAGCCAAAGGGGTGAGATCTAACGAGTTCAGTCCGGGGAGATAAGGGAGGAGAGAGCAGCGAGGACTGGAGTCTGACAGAACAAGCAGGAGAGAGGTTGCGGAGATAACTGCAGCAACGGGAGTTAGACTACGGGCTAGGCACGTGTGCTCGTCTGATCTCTGCGTTCTCTGTTCCTTAGTCGTTTTCCTTGTGCGCACACTACTTGCTAGTTCACGGGGAAAGTTGGCAAGAGTTCCACTAGGAAAAGTTCAGAACAATTGGGTACAATGAAGTTGGCACAGCAAGACTACATCAGAGCAAGCATTCAGGTCGGCCAACTGCCAATGCAGCTTGGTCGACCGTGCTCCAGCACGACTTGGTCGACCGCGCTCCAGCAAGGCAAGGTCGACGGCGTGCCAACGTCACAGGTTGACGGCGTGACAGCGTTGCTCACGCAGGACAGCAGTGCACCCTACTTCGCAGTTGCGTGCAGGTGATTGGCGTGCAGAGTCTCGTCACCTATACAGCGCACAACACCACGTCAACCTCGAGCTGACGACTGCCTCTGATCGGCCACGTCGACCTCGGGATACCACCACCGAGGTCGGGCTCGCCAACTTCGCCTGGGCGACCGTCGTACTCCTCCGCAGCACTTCGCCACCCAGGTAACC